ACGTATTCATCTGTCAGCATGTTTATGTATAAGTATTTACGATTTAAGCATTAACATCATTGTTATCACAGATACAGACACGCACATATATTCTCTGGAAATAATTCAGTTAAGCATTCGGTAAGGAAAGGGTGATTTTATAAACAGTGGCTGCTGCTGCTAATACATGGCTCTTCTACTAAACCCAACTTTCGAACCGAGGGTAAGAGACTTTCGTTCAAAACTGCTTGGTATCTACATTTTTTGTCTACTTAATAGGATCCTCTTGTAATTATGGACAATTCTTTTAGTATCCTTATTAAATGAAGAAATAAGTAGACGAAACTTGTTTAAATTATTTAATGAGACATGTCTTAATATATATATATATATATATATATATATATATATATATATATATATATATATCTGTGTGTGTGTGTGTGTGTGTGCGTGCGTGTTTGTGTGTGTATTCATTACTTTAAACGTGATTTTTAATGGATACATATATTTGGGTAGAAAGCTGTTACGGTTTTTTGTGTATATAATGTATGTAACTAGTGAGTTAGTCAAAATGACTTAATTCCCTTTATAGTCTACCAACAGAAGGTTGACCAATCAGAAGCCGCAGAACATTGTATCCGTCGTGTATAAAGGCGGCCATCTTTGTTTATCCTACCGGAATGACCAGAGCCAACTTGTGAGGCGAACATGACAGACGGAAGAACTACGCTCTGCTGCGATATCCACTGCGAACCTAAAGTACGCTTTCCTACTGTCTCCGAAATATTCACTGCCAACCTCTGGATTCTATACTCGAGGACGACCGTCATGAAAATGTCTAACAAAAGCTTCATTTACTTTTTAGACAGTATTTTATTTCGTCTTCCATCTTGAACATTAGAGAAATTTTATTAGAGAAAAAAATGCGACCTCTGGTGGATTGATAAATAGAAATCTATTTACTTGTTTAGAAATTGCTTTGTTTACGTTTCAGATACGAAACACGGCAGTTATGAAGCTCCGGAGATCTAGACGAGGAAAACTTCACTTAATCATGGCGTCTTTCGTAGCATGTCGGATATGCCGTAGGACGCATTGTTTTCTCTAATAAGATTTCTCGAATGTTTAGGCCGGTAGACGAAATAAAATACTGCTTAAAAAATAAACTGAGTGTCTACTCACATAGGTGTATCCACTGAAAATAGCATTTAAAGTAATAAAAAAAATGTCGGATTAATAAACAATTAATTACTTCTTTAGACACGCACACACACACACACACATACGCACACATATATATAAATAGATATACATATAAGTGTGAATATAAACTAAATAACGAAATATTAGTAGCTGTATATGCGTGCGATGGTGTGTATATGAAGATAAGCAAATAAATATTTAACTTAATTTATCCTGCAAACAAAACAGTGCTTAATGTAGTTAAACAGAGCTATGAAGTATATATTAATAAATACACATATACCTAAGTTTGTGTGCAACTTAAAGTTTCATGGTTTCCCAAGTCGTCAGGCACGTATAGCGAATGAGCCACTTATTATAGTTGTTTGTTTTTTTTTTAATACTGGATCTCATGGGAGGAACGCTAAATTATACGCAGATTCAAAGCTCAAAGTTAATATAAACCCAAGGAGTGTAAATTCAAACTATAGAGTGTATGGCGTATATATATATATATATATATATATATATATATATATATATATAGTTTGCAATCCTTCTTTTATATATTTTTAATTGAATATCCCTTACATTAAATTGTTTTTAAAAATTTCAGTTTTTCTAGTGTCCTTATAATTTTTCTCAACGACTATGGTCCCGCTAAAATTTACTGCTAAATACAAAATTGTTATAGTAGAACACACCTATTCTATAGTTAATAGACTCTCCCACCTATAATAAGTATAATAAGAGTAACAAGTCAGTCGGCAGTGAGTTGGTCAGTCAGTCAGTCGATGTCGGACGACCGTTAGTCGGATATTAAAGTATCAGCCACCCCAACTAGATTACTGCGTCATGACCTATTATATCAAGTTCCTAACGTTTTGTACGTCTAACCTATTTTAAGACCGACTTAGTAAAATTACAAGCCTCCACTGTGAAACCCCTAAATAACATAAATACTGCTAAAATTTAGTCATTTTTATTGTGGGGAGCTAATTATTGTTGCTACCATTTTTTTCTATATTGTGTAGTAAATTAAAAGTAGTAATTTCATTCATAATAGTGTTTAAGTATTGAAAACGAACAAGGTAGCTAGGCTTCTTTTGCAACGAGTAACATAAAGGTAAGCATGTAGTGGTTTGATTTATTTATTTATTAACGATGCTTCTACTATCTTCAAACTTTTTTTTCTCACAGCTCAGAGTTGTTAACATGTCAGTGTTATCTACAAGGGTTTTTTTTTCATTTCTGAATTTGGCCAGGCTTTGAATGCTTATCAAGAGCCGTTTAATTTATCACACATCGTAATTATTTTATCGGGAACTCTCTACCTTGTATTGAGTGACACTGGGTTGATGGAAGACTCAGAAAGGAAACGGAAAGAAATCTTTCACAAGGTAGTAATGAAGAACAAGAAGAAAGAAAGTAATATTAATAGTAGAAAAGGCAAAAAGCATTGTCAACAAAAAAGAAAGCCCTAGCTCTAAGCTTTGTATTTGGGGATGTCAAAGTCAAGCAGATACAGAACTTTAATTCTTTGCGCTTTCTAGTAATGAACGATGGAATATGTGAAAAAGAAATATGCCGGCGTCTTGGGATGACGAAAGATGACTACCAGAATATAAGCAAAGTATTAAGTCAGATGAAAATTATCGTTAGACACAAAGATAGCGGAACAGTTGTGATATATTTAATCTCCAATGTGGCAGTGAATGCTGGACAATCTTGTCACAGGTGAAGAAATTTGAGGCAGCAAGAGATATGTTTCTACAGAAGAATTCTGAGAATCTCGTGGAAAGGAAATATGAGCAACACTGAAGTTTTAAATAAAATGGAAACAAAAAGGATGAAAGGATGCGTATATCTGGATTCAGAAAGAGATAGTTGAAATTGTTGTGAACGATAATGAGGAAAGATTGCTTGGAGAGTTTGACACTCAAATAACACACTGAAGACAAGAGGGTCAGAAGAAAACTTCAAGTAATCTACCGAATAATTTGGCAGAACAGAGATTGTAAGGAGACAAGCATTGCTTAGAACTACAAAGGACAGGAACTTGTGGAGAGTCGTGTTCTTTCATGCTCTGAAAGAACATAGCATATGGAAGAAGAAGAAGAAAGAGGAGAATAATAATAAGAAGAAGAAGAGGAATAATAATAATAATAATAATAATAATAATAATAAGAAGAAGAAGAAGAAGAAGGATGTAAATATAATAATAATAATAAGTTATTTTTATAATCAATGGAATAGTTAGATGGACAATAATATCGGCCATTCAACGAACTGAAATCACCTCTTTGCATGGACATAGGAAAAAAATGATATTTCTATAGAGAAGAACGTGTTAATCTTTTGTGAAATATTGACGATGATTTTGTTTATTCTTTTAGTGCATATCTGATTATTATTATAAACCATTGGTTACTCTGTGGATTTCTTTCAGGATCAATGTTTTAAGAACCGAATCAACCTGTAAGTCGGCTTCTCGTTCTTTGCCAAGAAAATCCTATCTCAACTTCAGCATCAATGAATGTAATAATATTCTTAAAGGCATTTTAGTCATTAAGAAAAAATATGGACAGTACATTGGAAAATCAAGTATTGCTGATAAGGAAATCATATAAAAATATAAAGTAATAAGAGTAAAAAATAGTAGGAAAGAACAAAAAATAGTAGAAAGAGAACAACAAAAACAAGAAGAACAACAAGGATAATAATAATAATAATAATAATAATAATAATAATTTCTGAGATAATTATGTACAGTATTTAATCGGACTATTGTCCTCAGCAGCACAACGTTTCGGCCGTTGTACGCTCGGCCTTCTTCAGGTGGTTGGAATTTGATGAACCCTTTATTAATCGGTAGACTGTTTTTATCAGTTTATGGATGTCTAATGAAAGTTCTCCCTGCCTTAAAGGAATTGAACTCCAGAAGTCCTGGCACGTGGAATCCTCACCCCAGTGACAGGTTGGATCTAACCAACGTTTTATCCACTGTGCACGGAATTAGAACAGTCTTCGAAATAAAGGGTTCAGTTCGAAATTCCAACCACCTGAAGAATACAACGGCCGAAAAGTTGTGACAAATATGGCGACAAAGATGAGGACAATAGTCCGACTAATGTAAATACTGATAATAATAATAATTACAGCAGCACAAAACTGATACCTATTAATCGGCAGATTTTTATCAGTATGGCTAATGCTAACCTCCAGAAGAGTGACAGGTTGCGTGTTGACAGAATAACGTTTGATAGGAAGTTGAAAGATTATAGTGAATCAATTGCTAGCTCTGTAGAATCTATCTTACATATTTATAAGTTTACCACACGTCCATGGTTAGACTATTGCTGCCACATATGGTCTGGTGCTTCTGTTACATATTTAGAGATTCTTGATTAAATCCAAAGAAGAATCTGCAATGGTATTGCTTCTGATCTGGCATCTCGACTTCAGTCAATTTCCCACTGCCGTAATGTAGTTTCACTGTGCCTTTTTTATAAATACTTCCATTGGTAATTATTCCTGATGAACTATGGAAGCCGAGACTTTATGAATTTAAGCGCAGTACTAGATTGGCGAATGGTTCTCATCATTTTACAGTCGAAATGACTAGATATAACCGTAAGTTCTATGGTAACAGTTTCTTCTTTCGCATTTCTCGCCTGTGGAAATCTTCCCGCTTCTTGTTTTCCAATCAACTTTGATGTCTAAAAGTTAAATGCAATGTCATTCGTTATTTCTGACTTTTTAATTCCTGTTCTTTTATTATTCTCGCTACTTAATAGAGTTTTTTTTATTTCTCAAATTCTTTCAGATTCAGTAACAAGTAGAGATAGATAGATAGATAGATAGATAGATAGAGAGAGAGAGAGAGAGAGAGAGAGAGAGTGGGGAGAGAGAAAAAGAGAGTGACAAAGAGAGCCTGCAAAAAGAATAATAATACATGGTCTGAATACCGCACGAGGATCGAGACTGACAGTCACCATGTCGTGTTGCTTCTTATAGCCTCTCTGTTGATATCTATCTATCTATCTATCTATTTCTTTCCCAATCTATCTATCCCTTTCCTTATCTATCTATCTATCTATCTATCTATCTATCTATCTTAGTTCATGTTCTAATCTATCTATCTAGCTATCTATCTATCGGTGCATACATTGTTGAAATGTATAATCTGGTTGATTTCGAATTAAGTAAAAATATTTTTTCATTAACTTCCGCCATGAACTTTGCTGAACAATATATTTATTATTTCATTCTTTTGCCATCTTTTGGACATCTTCAGAACCTCTCTCTCTCTCTCTCTCTCTCTCTCTCTCTCTCAACAATGAAACGACCTCTTTGCCTTTCGCAATTTTCTTAGACATTGAATTTTTTCACAATGAGAATTCTGTAAAAATGGGAATGAATAGTATTCTGTCGATACAATATCTTGGAAAAATGGCGCTGGCGTGATAAATCCACAACGAAGCTGTAACAATTTCGGTTTCCTCACTAAAAGAACCTTACTCTTCGGCATGATTCCGCATAAAATACTACTCTTTTGCTGGTAATTTATTCTGGATAGAAGCTTTTCGTTGATTGTTACTTTCACTTGGTCTAAGAAAGTGTATGATCAATCTTTTGTTTTTCACCTGGACGCAGTAGAGGACTGCTTTACAATTATACCATTATAACGCGCGTTGTCTTTTTTCTATAAGAACCAGCTTTTGTTGTGTTTGATGATGATTCATTTCGACGGTTCTGTGCTCCTAGTTGTTGTAAAGTATCTACTTTTCATCGCCTGTCACAGTTTCTTTCAACCTTTGGCTTTTCTCCTGAAGACAGTAGAGGACTTACTTGTAATTCCACCATATACACACCATCGTCTTCTTCGAATGAATACCGGCTATCTTTTGTGATACTCGCTGTTGTAAAGTACCCACGTTTCATCGCTTGCCACAATTTCTTACAAACACGGACTATTTTCGTTACATTTGCGTAGTAAATCGATCATATTTTTTTATTTTTTCATTAACTTACAAGTCATCACAACGCTGCTAACATAAATAAACTTGTGCCATATTTTCCATTGATTAATTTCGGTTATATCATTGATTAATATTATCTAATATCTTGGTTTGAGTAATAAATGAAGAACTGCTCTTTTGTGGAACGAAACTCCTGTGTGAGTGTTTCCCTAGGAACTACAATTTCAACCGCTTGAATCAACGATCTATCGTTATCTACCCTCTTTATCCTTATAATCTTCACTTCCTACTGCCCCCTCTTTTATTTATGTCACACAACTCACTCATTAACGTCATTTTAAGGGTATGTATCTACATTGAGTAGCCCTTCAGCCTTGTATTCGGTGAATTCTTGGATGAACATTTCATTTACAACCATTCTTTATAAACTGATTTTTTTATTAATCTTTTGATTGTCATTTTTACCTTTCTAATATAAAAAGCTTATTTTATTTCAAAATATTAAACTAAAATCCACAACAAAATTAGCACACTATTTAATTTCAGAAACAAAAAATGATCACCGATATGACAGCCGTGACAATAAAATAAAAAGCGAACTTTTTGAAGAAAATTAATTAAAACTAAAGGTTATTAATGTCATCAAAAAAAAAAAAGTTAAAAAATGCAGGACGAAATATTTTGGAAAGCTGAAGTGGATCGAAAAGAAAAAAGACGAATGAAATTATGGAAGACTGAAAAGATTATTTAGAATAAAAAGAAATAAGTAAAGAAGTAATTAAAAAATGAAACGAAAAAAGAAACGATATGAATTAAGTTAGAATAAAATGAATATTTAGATTAGAAAGAAAAAAGAATATCGCAATTGAGAGTAAGAAAGAACAGAAAAAGCTAGATTTCAACTACAAGAAAGAATTGGGAAAAAATCTATTGGAAATGAGTAGAAACTGCTGAATGAGAATTAAAAGAAAAAAAATCTGTTAGGAGAAAATAAATTAGGAAGGATAAGTAGAAAAAAACGAAGATAAAGAAAGGCTGAACTGAATAAATGAATTGCCAAACAAATGAAGGAAGGTTTTGGGCGAAGACGAGATACTGATGGAAGGACGACAAAACGATCCAATTGAAAAAAAAAAAAAAAAAAAAACAGATATAAAGATATTGCCAGTAAAACCCAAAAAGGGGATTTTCTCGGCATTCTATTTTGGCGCGCAACATGGAACCATCAAAAAATGGCAGGGAATGACGTCGGCCATGACATCATCAGCTTAATAGAAAGAATAAAATGAGAAAACCAGAATCGGTTGAACTGGATAGAAATTAAGACGGTATGTTTGAATGAGAAGGAAAAGGATGATGGGGATATTCGTCAAAATCCCAGCGTGTTGAAATAAATGACTCCCTTGAAAATTCTCAACGATCCCATAGAAGCGGGAAATTAGGTTTGCTGGTCATTTTCTGCATAGGACTATTGCTAGAAAATGGCTTTGGTTTGTGCCGAGAATTGAAAACGGGAGGGAATCGAAATTTGGTAGCGGAATCGGGAATTTATCCTATTGTGCGTCCGAATGAGATATAAGTGAAAATAATGGTCGAGAAAAAAAAAAAAGTGAAAAAAAGAAAAAGAAATAGAAAAAAATGAAGCAGAAGGCAAAGATTTGAATACTGAAATTAAGAAGAGTGACAAAGACGGAAATCTTGGGCAGCCATAAATGAAAGGAAAAGGACAAAAAAAAAGAAAAAAAGGAAAGGAAATGACTGGAAGTAAGAAGAGAGAGAGGGAGAGAGAAAGGAAAAGATAGTGCAGCCTATTCTATGTTCAATTTCCTTATTTCCTATACTAAATTCATTATAACTGATCCATACACAGAAGTTTTTAAAGTGATTAGTAAAAAAAAAAGGAGTGAAACTAGAATGGTAGATATAAAATGTAAGAAAATGAATTAAAAGGAGCTAAAAATAATAAGAAAAATATATACAGCCTTGTAAAATCTGTGACAACGATGTAGAAATAATCAGAAATTAAGTCACGTGCGGCATAATGATTTACAAAGCATAGCTCAGATGCGGCACAAGGCTAAAAGTATGGGGTATCCAGTGAGGGTCGAACTCACTACAGTCGTAACTGAACCAGTGAGATAACTTGTTAATCATTCCACCATTTCGAAGTGCCCAAAGTATATGTGAGGCATAAAAAAAAAAAACTTGCTAATTCTCCGTTCACGCAGCAGCAGCAGCAACAACAACAACAACAACAACAACAGCAGCAGCAGCAATAATAATAATAATAATAAAGGGTGTTTTTTTAAGACGGATTATATATGTGCGTTTTATTATGACGGATCGATGTCAGCAGTAAATAAATCAGTGTTAATGTAAAACATTATTCATTTCTCTATTTGGATTATGTTAAGTCATGGCAATTATGGATGAAAAATAATATCGCCCAAATGTCCGCCAATTCTGAAAAAACAAGAAAAAAATCATCGGACGCTTAAACTTAATTCAAATTTAAAATCGGTCCAAGTTATTGGAACACCTTTTAATAATAGAAATCAGGCATTTTATTTTCTCCAAATATCTAGTTGCTCACGCTCCCAGTCAAATAATTAACTTTCATCGTCGGGTCCTTTCAAACTTTAACCAACATGTCACCTTCCACGATTTGTGCTTTGCCTCTTCTGATTCTTCCGCGTGTTGTAACTCTGTCCTCTTAGTATTTCGGGTCACGCTGTAATGTCTCTTGATAATTCTTTTCATTCGTCTATTAGACATGAACCCACATTCACAAAACTTCTTTCTGCGACTAACCTGTATTTATTGGGATTCATTTCGCTATTTACTTCGTGATGTGCCTTTAGTCTTCCTATCGAAAATTGTGCCTCTTGGGCGAAAGCAGTAACGAAATCTTTTGTGCATTCTCGTAAATACCAGATAAAAACTGAATTTTTTTTCCTGCATGTTCAGCCGCTATAGCCCATTGGAATCACTTTTTCTGGCTCTGATCATAATAGACGTTCCTTTGCGTCTGCTCGTAATAAGTGCAAAGTTTTCTCAATGGACTAACTCTTTGTTCGCTGATAGAATGAGTCACCGTATAGCCTCCCACAAGTTTTGATCTCGTAGAGTAGTTGTAAACAAAGATGAGTCTTATACTTAATATCAAAAAGACGCAGCTGACGTTTCTGGGACACATAATGAGGACGAAGGGTCTGGAGAATCTGATACTCACAGGTCGAATAGAAGGAAAGAGAGACAAGGAAAAACAACGCGTGACATACCTGGCGAATTTAAGAAAGTGGATGACAGAACGAGGTCTGGGGGAGGTGACAGAGGGAAAGAACTTGTTGAGAGCTGCAAGGGATAGAAGGAGGTGGAGAGCCATGATCGCCTACGTCCTGAAATTACATGGCACCAAAAAAAGAAAGAAAGCACTCTGTAAGAGCGTGTTAAAAAACAGTAAGCTCTCATTACGCCCTGTCTTCGATAAATTCAGCGAATAAAACTATGCTTTGACCGCAAATTCTCTTCCAATTCTAATCTCGACATATTATGAGTTCATTTGCTTTCCGCTTAAAACTGAGTCTCTACTGTGTGATAAGCATATAACTGCGTCAATGGTTTTCGCTATCATCGTCAAGCTTACCCGCCCCAAAAGAATATGTACTTGATGGTATCCGTTCAATTATATTTCATAAATGTCCTCCTGGGCTGAGGCCTGTTTTCTTCAAGCTTTGATGCTTTGTATTTTTCTTGTTTTTAGGATTGTTGGAAATCATCTTCTGTCGTTCCTGCTTTTAAGAACTCTGAAAAACCGACTGATTCTTCTACCTATCACCCGATTAACCTTCTGCCTCTTTTTGGTAAAGTACGAAAGAGAACAATCAACTACAAATTGGTAAAGTTTTTCACCTTGAATGGATTTCTTTTACAAAAACAATATGGCTTCTGTTTCCCTATGTCAGCCGCTAATGT